TACAGACACAAATTTATTTATTAGTTTATTTGATAGGGACCATGCATATTCTTGAACATTGTTGTATGATACACCATGTAAATATGCCAGAATTAGTAAAGAGATACTACTTTTCATCTGCAGTCCCTAGGCCGGTGACAAAAACAACTAACAAAAAGATAACCAGCAGTCATTCACTGTAACATGGATTAGAATATACATTGATATTACAAACAATGCATAAATAAACAAAAAACATGATAACAAAGACATACATTCACCACTATACTACGTTTAATTTAACGATGAAAGTGAATGGCTAATAAAAAAAAGAGCCACTTTTTTAATTGAGTTTTGAAAGTGTCGACTCGAATGTTGGACACTCTCGTATTGAAGGGGGAAAGTTATTCCAAAGTTAACCACCTATTATTGATAATATATTTTGGCCAAAGGTGGTACATCTAAATGGTATCAAACAGTCCCCTTATACAGAGGCACTATATATAACTCCTAAATACTTGAATTCATTAACTCCTGCTCCTGTCCTCTAAAGAATACATCAGAATGTGACGCCTTCATACTTTGTTTGGTGAATGTCATACAGACTTTTTTTTTTTTTTGGTGTTTAGATGGAGACATGACTTAGTGAGCCGGTCATCAATGTGAGCCTTTGCCGATGTGAGTGTGGATGCTATCTCCAGATAGTTCTTACCATGTGTAAATATTACGCCATCATCTGCATCTGGACATCAACATTTTTATATGCCTCTGGCAGGTCATTTATATTAAGTGTAAATAAAATCGGACCAAGTATGGAGACTTGAGGGACCCCTACAGGACATTCGCAAAATGTACGACCACATTGCTTAATTGCTTAATACGAACACATTGCTTTCTACAGGACAATGCTCTATGATTTATCCAGTTGATAGCTTACTCTGAGAAATTAAAATATGTTAATTTAGAAGAACTTTGTGATTAACAGTATCATAAGATCGCTTTAGGTCTAGGAAAAGAACACCAACACAAGAACTCAAGCCTTTATCCTTTTCCAAAAACAAACAACAGAAACTGTTTCTGTTGAGTGATGGGCCCTAAAACCAAATGAAGTGGTGAAGTGAATCATCGCTTTTTTGAGATGTTAAATCAGTAGTTCGGCCATCTATTTTTCAATTATTTTAGGAACAACAGGTAAAATACTGATTTGCCGATAATTATCCATATCTAATCTTTCCCCTGATTTAAAAACGGGTGTGACTAGGAACAACCTCCATGATGATGGTGTGGTGGATTGACTTAAGGACTGATCAATCAGATGTGTGGGCATAGATATCCATGGCCTTCGAGATTTTTAAACTATTCATAATTTTTAATACTTCTAATTCAGTTATTTGTTGTAGATGAGAATCGGCTGTGCATAATTAATGGAGCAAAAAGAGTAGCTATGTGAATTAAAAAGTTGAGTTATTTCATAGACAAAATCTAAAAAGAAAGTGTTTAGTTCAGTAGCTACTGTATTATGGTTGGGTCTGTAACTAGTTCAGTGTTAATTTTCAACTCTATATCTCTATTATTATAATTGTTTTCTGCCAATCAGCTTGTTGATGGTTTGCCATATCTTCTTCCCATTTCCTCCAGCATTTTTAAAAGTATCAATGAAAAATTTGGCTTTAGCTTGTCTCAGTGTTTTTATTACTTTATTTTTTAATTGGGTAATTTTTGATTTTAAGGATTGTTTCAATACATCATTTAGCCAGGGCAATGTGTCACTGTTTTTCTTATGACTCCGCTTTTCTCCGTTCCATTCAATCTCTCCTAATGCTACCCAAAGGTTTTCCTGTTGATCAGTTGGAACTGATTCATATTTACATAATGTTTTGACAGGAAAAAAGAACAATATATTTTTTTAGTTTCCAGGCAAAAAGAATAATATTTTGATCTGACATACTTGTCATTAGATTAAGGGTCTCATTAATGTGTTCTGTTCAATTGGTGAACAATAAATCTATTTTGGTTTCAGACGGAAATAGTTATTCTTGTTGGTCCGTTCAATTAACTGTGTAAGATTAAAATAGACTAATGTTTTTTTTCCACCCTTATTTCATTTGACATTAAAATCCCCCATCAATATAACCTCTTTGTTAAAATCCAAACTATGGAGATTTTTTAACTGATCATAGGACTCAAGCTTTGCTGATGGTTTTCGATATAGACCGATTAAACTAAATGTAATTTCAACTGAAAGAGAGTTGTTAACATCAACGCATTCATTATCAGTTTTCTTAAGCCATTCAATTTGTTTAAATTTTATAGTACTTTTCACATATAATGAAACTCCCCCAATCTTCCCATGATCTCTATCTTTCCTAAAAACATCATATCCTGGCATGACAATAAGTGCCTCCGGAGATAAACAAGTTAACCAAGTCTCTGACAGTCCAAGAAAATCAATATTAGAAGTTTTCCAGTTGTTCGTCTTTAGTTGCCACACTCCTAATATTTAAATGTCTGCCAAACAGCCCTTTAACTTTACATTGAGGATCCCACAGAGTTTGAGCCTGATAAAGCGTTTGGAAAAACTTTGCGGTGCAATGTTTTTTCATCAAGGGATTCCTAGATCTAGATCGTTTCCTTTTTTTTTTTTCTTCATCATGCGGTTCAGGACTTCCATAGAATACAGCCTGAATATAATTGCTTCCAGAAATTATTTTTGGGGGCGCTAACAGGGAACTTTGGTTTTTCTTGGGGGCTTTCATTCTAGCCCCTCCCTAGCGCCGCCCATGCATATGCATATCCATTAACGAGCATTTCTTCATAAATATTTAACATTTTGATAAATGCATGATGCATTTATGGCATTATATATGGCATTATGCATAGTAGAACTTTATGTAGACCTACTCATTTAGGAACAGATATAGGGTTCTACCAAAAGTCAAGCAACATAAATGTAATGTAAAAGTAACAAGTAAAGTAAAAAGTTACTTTCTATAAGGGGTAATGAAGTAAATTAATGGATTACTTTTTTTAAGAAATAACGAGTAACGAGATACACTACTTTTTAAAAGTAACTTCCACATCACTGTCAGTTGGCGTACATTAGGTAGGTGTGCCCAAATGTCACATTATCACGTAGTGTAACAGAATGTAGGCTAACTATTGGTCAATGCTGGTCATGTGTGTGATGCTGGCCAATAGTGTGCCTACGTTCTGATGTACAACCCAGAAGCACTGCGCTTTTACGTGAACTCACTGTTTGTCTTTTGCACTCAAAAAGTATTCCTGTCACTTGATAAACTGAATGGTTGAGCCACTTTAGTCACTTAACGATGTCTTTACTAACTTTCTGGGCCCGCAATTTTCAATTACTTAGAAGCATATGGGAGAGTGAAACAGCTCTCAGATTTAATCAAAAATATCTTAATTTGTGTTCTAAAGATCAACGAAAGATTTAGTGAGTCAATAAAATACTTCCAACAAAAATCAATATTTTGTGTCCAACTATTTACTAAAGCAGGAAGTAGAGTGCAATACGTGAGAAAATGCACATCAGAAGGGAGATTCTTCTGTTGCATAACAAAAAATTGTTATCGCAAAAGTTGTCAAGTTGTTATCGCAAAATAAACCAACTTGGGTGATCCAAGTCCTAATCACGCTGTGTGGGTTTATTCTGCAATAACAACCAGCTGAATGTACTTTATACCTTACAATAAATGCTAAAGGGTAATTTTTTATTGTTATTTCATGTTAACTATTAATCTTAATATATAGAAACTTATTGTAAAAAGTTACCATAAATATTTTTAAACAAAGCATAGCCTTTTGGTTTAATAATTTCCTAGTTACGCATGTCTCCATGTGCGATAAAACCAAGCTGTCCTGGGAACTACATAACCAAATCCCACTACAATCCAAGTCTTTCGTTGTTGCCTGATTCTCTTTTCCCAACGTGTATTTCTTTTTCCTCAATCCACTAATGTCTGGCTCTGTTCTCAAGACCTGTCAGTTTAAATGTGAAGCATGTTTTTCTCATTATTGTGTTGCTGTGGTTGGCTTGGTCCTTCTGTTACCTGTAATGGGTCATCTCTCTCTCTCTCTCCCTTTTTCTTCCTTCCTTTTTTGTCTCATTTCCATTTTCTCTCTCTCTTTCACTACATTGGATCAGTATTTACCAAGCATAACATTTCAACAGTAGAGAGATTGTTAGGAGACTGTGTGCTCAACCTAAATAACACCCACCCACACATGCATGTCAGTGGAAAAGCTCCCTTCTGTTAGTGAACTCCTCACCTGTCTGGGAAGCTTATTGGCAGGTCATATGTTTGTACAAATGTATGCAGCACCAGGAAGAAAAACGCTTCTGTAAAAGCTTTTTGTTCTGTAACTTCAACAACCTCAGAATGATGTGTTACTTCTAATTAATCACATTTTAATGGGGTTTTCACTTCCCTATTTCCATAATTCCTGTTTATACTATTTTAGCAGCAAAAGTAGAATGTCTTTCATGGTTTTGTTTGTCTTTTCTCACCTTTTCTTCCCACTCATTTATTTAATTTTCCTTCAATTTGATTGTGGCTTGTGGCTCAAAAACATATTTTTATGTTCATGTCTGGATTTTAATTAGTAGTTATTGTGTGTTTTAGATTCGTCTTGGAAAAAGTGGGCTAACGTCTGATGTTGGTGTGCATGGATGAGGATTTGAGAAGCAATTGCACATACACAGTGTCCTTCGGATTCAAATGCTTTGGGGGGAAATGATTGTGATACAAATGGAGAATATTTGCCAGTTTGATCTGGTTGAATGTCCAGTGCCTTTAGATGAATACAGCCTGTCAAAAATATAAGAGTTGGGCTATAAAGGGCTACAGGGATGATGCAATTTTGTTACCATCACCCTGATTCCATCGTCAAAAAGCCCATAGAATTTCTCCATTGACTTTTTGTATTAGTACAGAAAAATATACTGATCAAAAAAAGGTGTTGAGTGGGGTCATTTAATAATTTCTTCACTTTTTTAACAGCTCGTTGGCTTCAGTGAGAAGCCAGTAAACCTGCAAATGTTCATCGGGACAGCGGATGACCGTTATTTGAGGCCGCACGCATTCTACCAGGTTCACCGCATCACAGGAAAAACTGTTGCCACGGCAAGCCAGGAAATTGTCATCACCAGCACAAAAGTTCTCGAGATCCCTCTCCTTCCTGAAAACAATATGTCTGCCAGGTACCTGCCAGCAGTTCTTTACTTCAACCTTGATTCTCTCTTAATTTCTCTCACACATACACATGCACATTTGTTTTTCTATTGTGTTGGGGACTTTCCATTTGACTTCTTTTGCTTTTATTTTGGCCTAATAATATTGTTTATCCCCTAACCTACCTATCATTAAAGATGGCCCTCACAAAAAAAATGTATTTACAAAAAAATTGTAAAGTTGACATGTTGAATGATAAAGTCAGTCAGTCATATTTATTTATAGAGCATATTTAAAAACAACAGTCAAAGTGCTGTACAAATTGTAAACAAGTATCCATGAAACAATAAACCAAAAATAAACAATGCACAAAACAATGCAATACCACTAGAGCTGCATATGACCATAAGTAGCAGTAAATAAGTGGGTTTTAAGCAACAATTTAAAATCAATGTATGTTGGTGCAGTCTTTATATAAGATGTTCCAAAGCTGTGGAGCAGCCACTGAAAAGGTATAGTCTCCTTTTAATTGTAGACGTGTCCTCGGAACAGTCAGCTGTAGACTACTGGTTGACCTGAGATTTCTAAAAACATTATGGTGGGCTGAAAGGAGATCAGAGATGTATGGAGGACCCAGTCTTAACTGGAAGTCAATGGAGAGAGAACAATATTGGCGAAATGTTCGTATCGTATATCAACCGTCAAGGTGGTCTGCACTCCGCCGTATGTCGCAACTCGCCCTCCACCTCCTCATATGGAGTCAGAAGCATCTGAGGTCCCTTCATGCCATTTATATCCACGAAGCCCTGAACCATGCAGCCGTCGAGCTCTCACCCCGAACTCTCACCACCAAGCTCTCACCCTCTCACTCCTTTAGCCCCTCCCTGGAGAATGGCGTCTCCATCCCCAGTCCTGTCAATGAAACAGCGCTTCTGGTTGCTTTGGCCTCCATCAAGAGGGTAGGGGACCTGCACGCATTCTCCGTTGACAAAGCGTGCCTGCAATTCTGGCTGGGCTACTCTTAGTAGCCCGGGATCCTGAGACCCCGGCCTGGATATGTGCCCAAGGTTCCTACCACTCCTTTCCGGGACCAGGTGGTGAACCTGCAAGCGCTGCCCTTGGAGGAGGCAGACCCAGCCTTAGCACTGCTCTGTCCAGTACGTGCTCTATGTGCCTATGTAGACAGAACGCAGTGTTTCAGGACCTCAGACCAGCTCTTTGTTTGTTATGGTGGGAAGCTGAAGGGAAAGGTTCTCTCCAAGCAAAGGCTGTCCCAGTGGATAGTGGATGCCATTATTTTGGCACACCAGCAGCAAGGTCAACCGTGCCCCCCTGGTGTGACTGTCCACTCCACCCGGAGTGTGTTGTCCCCTTGGGCTCTAGCGCATGGCGCCTCGCTGGCAGACATCTGCAGAGCTGCAGGCTGGGCGACACCTAACACATTCGCCAGATTCTAAATCTCCGAGTGGAGCCTGTGTCCTCTCATGTACTCGCTTCAACCAGCTAGTAGCGGACCCTCTCAGGTGTCTTCACTTCACTTCACTCGCCATTCCACTCTACAGACTGGATACTTGTGATATTTCCTCAGGTTATAGCTTCCCGAAAGCCCTAAGTTCCTCCAGTATGTTATTGTTAAGCCCCACAGAAGGCACAAAAACATTCTAAAGTACCATAACGTTTTCGTGCACTCTATTATAATTGTTCTGAAGCCATTATGTGAGAGAGAAATTAATATTTAAGTCATTAAATTCAAGATCACATAAACTTTTCCCTCTCGCGGCTGTCAGTCATTCTCCATTCAGCACTCAAACAGCGCGTCGCATTCGGTTACAGTAAATGATGAAACTATCTTCAAGATGATTCAATGTTTATACTATTATACTTTATCTGTAGATAAAGGTCTATGTTTTCGCATAAAACAACATTATCTTGCTGGACTTTATTGCTGTAACTTAATCGTGTTACTACCAGGTGTCGGACGCTGTCGGTTAGATCTCAACAGTCACTCAGCACTATTGTTCTTCACGCGCACAGTAACTGAAATTTAAAACTGTTTAAAGAAAAGGTTCAATAAACTATTTTATAAATACATACTGTTTAATACACTGTCCATCAATATATTTCCTTTGTGCTTTGAACTTTTCAAAGCGGACTCGACGCGCAGCATGCATAGGGTGCATACTCGGCTGCGTGCTGTTACTCCACGTGGTTTCAAGCGCATCATTCTCCGCTCGGAATGCGCATAAGCGCTTTGTGCCGCACTGTGTTGGAGTCATTTATATCATAATGCAGTCACGCAATTAAAGCTTATTAACATTAATAATTATTAATGTTGCTGCCTCATTAAATAGCTGTGCTATACACTTAAAACTTGTCTCAATTTTTTAGTAGCCTTATATCTAAAATAATTATCTTTTTCATTTTTGTTATATTGTTTTTCATGAATGTATTTTACAACAATACAAAGAGCAATATGTATTATTCACTAATCTAGTTTATAATAGCATTTTTGTCATAGATTATGATCATATATTTTGGTGATTTGTTGTTTATCTTTATAATGAAGCTGTCTGTATTAAGTAGATTGTGTTAAACACACACATTACAATCTAGAATACTGCTGTTAAACTGTTTTAACTTTAAACCTGTTGGTAGCTAGCTAGCTTTAAGTACTGAAGTACCTGTATTTTCTTATATATATATATATATATATATATAGTAGTGTTTGAATAAAGGGTGGCAATCTTTCATAATCAACTGTTGTTGAGGACTATATACTGGAGGTATATTTTAAGGGGCTAATTGAGGAAATTGCTATATTTTTTATTAGTTTAAAAATAAAATAAAAATATTGGATTGGTATCGGTATCGGCCGATACTCAGAATTTTGGTATCGGATCGGATCGGTTTTGAAAAAACGGTATCGTTGCATCCCTATGTTTTACCACACTAACAGAAGTGACAATATAATATGATCTGCTACGCCATCCCGGAAAACCAGGGAAATAGCCCTAAGGGCACACAGGTTCGTTTTGCATGAGATGGGTGAAAAGACATGAGTCTTATCAAATAGAAAAGTTTAATTTTTGTTTGTCGACAAAATATTAAACAGTTAAAAATTCAAAATCTAAAACTTTTCACAAGCATCATAATGAGATGCGCACGCACACACACACACATTAAATAAAACAAATTAACCAAGAGTGGGGGTGTCTGGAGGTATGGGTCAGCTGCGAATTGGAAGACAAACCCCCCCACAATAGTTCACTACAAATACCCACTGCACACGTGAAGGTTAAATGCCAGAAGACACACTCGATGTGAGCACACCATACCGTTTGGCACTCGTTAGCTCCGATCGGCGGCGACCAGTAGTTACAGGCCTTCCACAAAGTCAAATGGATGCACAAACTTCTCAAACGGCATGCGATAGAATTACAGCAGTAAAAAAAGGTTTCCATCACTTAGGTCGAGGCAAAACAGCGACACAGTCGTAGGTATACACGATCACATCATCAGTGATACACGGTTCCCCGGATTAGCCCAAAAGACTCAGTGATGCAGGGGGGCCTGCCAAGCAGAAAGATACAGTTTAGACAACAGCAGCAAGTTATTAATACCCAAAACCATAATCTTACATACCACGGAGGGATACTGCTCACAAACTGCTTCGTTGTCGTACACATAATATAAAACAGCTTCTCAGGTTCATATAAATGACATTCTATCGTTGCCACTGCAGATAGTAAATCACAAGTTGCCAACCACAGCCAATTTCTTCCCATTGAACGAAGAGGCTACACATACCTGAGAGAGTGGGCAGCAAACATGCAGCAGCGGGAGAAACAGCCCACCGCCGCAACCTGACAGCAAGAGAAATTCATATAAAACCGCCAGCACAAGACAGGAAAGCACGAGTTTCCCCATACAATCACATACCTGCGGCAGCCACAGATGAGGTCAAGCGGGCGATACCAAGACGCATACAAAGTGGCCACCACACATCTCGTATATATCAAGAAAAGGGGAGGGGGCTTAATAAATTAAGCACAGGTGAATGATATCCTCCTAAGTGGATTCAGTCACCCTGCTACATATACATGGATACTCCTTACTGACATGCTTCTATTGCTGTGTTTTTCAGTATTGACTGTGCTGGAATCTTGAAGTTGAGGAACTCTGACATCGAGCTGAGAAAAGGAGAGACTGATATTGGACGAAAAAACACTCGAGTCCGCGTGGTGTTCCGGGTTCACATCCCACAACCTAATGGAAAAGTGGTCTCACTGCAGGCTGCTTCAATTCCAGTGGAGTGCTGTACGTTTTCTACATAAACATATATTTAAGAAAATATTCTCTCTGTAGATTTGACTGTCTTATCTGTAATTGTGATTAAATAGCCCAACGCTCAGCACAGGAGTTACCACAGGTGGAGAAGGCCAGTATTAGCAGCTTCCCAGTGAGTGGAGGAGAGGAAATGGTTATCACTGGCTCCAACTTCTTCCCTGAGTCAAAGGTCATTTTTCTGGAGAAAGGTCCAGGTAAGAATACTCCTACACATGAGAGGTTCAAGTGCTATTTTAGATGGGAGTTTTAGACATTTTTTTCTTCTTCATGTAATGTTTTTGCTTATTATATGGCTCTCAGGAATACTTGATCTGTCATTTCTATTATTTTTTTATTATTATTAAAAAATGCATTTCCTTATATTTCCTTATATATTAAATAATTGTCTAAGGGAAACAATTTACATACAGTAGTTACATAACAATGCCAGTTTCATATCTCTTGAGTCTCTCGAGTATCTCTCTTCTTGCATACTTTTTCCTCACTTTATACATAATTTAAAGTCAAATCAATATTTCATACCCATTTATTTATTTATTTGGTAAGTAGCTGTGTACGTAAGCTGGCTAATGTTCAGTCAGCAGGTCATTATATCAAAATTAACCCCTTTTAGAGTGATATTAGATCCCTCCACCTAGCATCGTTACTTGAGTTTGGTTAGTACTAAATCCTTTTAGCAGGTTGTTGCAAGCTCTGCAAGCACAGCCCAGTATGCACTGTAAATGTCTTTATCATTCACTGTGAGCAAATATTACTCCTCACTAAGGGTGCTCTGATTGATCGGTCGCCGATCATAATCGGCCGATAATTGCTTTGGGATGTGTGATCTGCGGTCTCTATAAAGGCCGATCCAGAAAAGCCGATCAGATGACGCAAAACTCGCAAGACAATTTTTTATGCCCTGGTAAAAATGGCTTCACCAGTCTGGCAATTCTACAAGGTGTGTGAAAAGGACAATTCATTAGCAATCAATCTGCAATGTGTGTACCACGCCGCTTTTCGCTTGTCAAACTGTGCGGCCTCTCTGATCAACCCTTAAAATCACCGGAAAGAATACAGTCCGTCCGCAACGGCGATAGATTGAAGCAAGCGTCCGAGTGAAGACTGCGCGAGCCACAGAGAACACTATATCCCTGACACTGATAGCAGCGACAACGAGCGCTCAGCTTGTGTTCAGAAACAAACAAACAAACACATTTTAGCGCTAGATTTTTTTATTTTGAATGCTCCTGCTATTTAACTGGAGATGCTTTATTTATTTGTATTGGGTATATCCGTGCCTCAATGTTACAAAAATTGGTGGGGGACAATATCAATCCTTAAAGTGGTAGGACATGACTTCATTAGCTCTAAACAAATTCATTTAACCATGTGACCAGCAGTGGTGGCTTTCTTAATCTGTTTAAAATAATTTAGCAAGGGTTCTTGCAAACAAATTTATTTACCAAAATATCGATTGCTTAAAGCTGCCGTCGGCAACATTTTTTTGATCATATTCAGTGAAATCGACACTACGATCTGACAGAACACAAAAATAAAGTGGTTTTAGAAAAAACCCGAGCTTCTAACGCCACCTGGAGTGTGTTATTTGTTTTGCAAAAATCCACCGCTCCCGGTTCATCGGGTCCAATCAGCGCAGGGGGGTGTGAGATCTGTCAATATCGCCATTTTGAAAGGTGGACATTTAAGTAATTTAATTTGGTTCAAGCTGGATGCAGAGCTTGCAACATTTCTTCTCGACAGGTAATTGCGCTTTATCAACCAGTTACTTTATGTCTTAGTGTTACGTCAGTAATCTAAGTAGCTTGTTTGTCCAAGTGTGTTGGTATGGATAGTTTACATTAGCACTTGCTGGGCTGGTTCGTTAGCTTTGTTTGCTCTGAAATCCGTGTGAACGTAACGTTAGGTGTATAAACATGTCTAGATGATGGAATAAAGTTCGGCTTTTTGGAAGAATGTTGATGGATGTTGATGAGACGGGCGCGTTCACAGAAAAGCTGGTGCACGCACTGACGAGCATGAACTTCGTGGGAGATTGTGGGGAGGGGCACAAGAGTTGTAAACATTCAAAATTTTGCCTAAGTCCACTCAATCTGCCAGACTTGCCGACTGCAGCTTTAACCGTACGTTCACACCCTTGCCAACAACGCCGTGGAAAGATTCGCTCTGATGCTCTGACATAGATCGAACGCATGGTCTTTTTGAAAACTAAAATCAAAATCTTTATTTTTGCTGAAAATATACTCTCAGTATATTCTCAGTATGTTTTCCTGCTTTTTTTGGTCCTTAGCTAAAAATCACATGCCTGAGTGTTGCACACCTTCTTATCAAATTCAAATAATCAACTTCCTGTATTTTTCTTGGGAACTAATGTGATCGGAACAAGAGTTCCGGTGTGTACAGTACTGCATTCTCTGAAATTCTCTCAAATGGAGCACTTCTACATTCTAATTGGTTACCGCCAAACCGAGTCATTGCTTATTACCATAAAGTTGACCTGACTTCAACTCTCCTTGCCGATCTCACCGTCCAAGACGCGTCGTGCCGCCCTCGCCGGACCTCGCCGCCTCTCATTGAAAATGAACGACTTCCGGCCACTTTGATGCTCTCGCCGGCGGTGGTGTAAACGCACAGGAAGAAGTAAGCTTTGGGAGAGAAATGAATCTCATAATCTCTATCCCCACTCTCTCTTTTTCTCAATCTCTCTCTTCCTCTCTAAATGGCCACAAAATCTAACAAAGCATCCCAGTAATTGGTGATCCCTGTAATCGGTGATCGGTATCGGGTGAGACAGATTCCAGTAATCGGGGATCGGTGATCGGCCCCAAAAATCCTGATCGGAGCATCCCTACTCCTTACCCGTTTTCCGTCTTCTTCAATCCTTGGGTCACAGTTATACCTGAACTAATCTCTGTCTTACTGAAGCTAAACCATTGTTAAAAACATCAAGATCAGGTGGTTTATAGTTAAAGTATGTACAGTATAGCTTTGGGAAACTGGAGCGATGTGTAAATTGTTAGGGAGTGTCAATTTCTCACTTCTCATTCTCAACTGACAGTCAGGACTGATTAGTCGGCTATTCATTCAGACAAACCACCAGATCAGTTCGTTTTCAATATATTTAGTTTTGAATATTGCTAGTTACGTCTGCCTGATAAGTGACTAAAGCTCAATTGTTGTATGTTGTTATTTTTTTTCTGACACTCTATTACTCTTTATAACTAGCATAGTAGATCATATTTTTCCTTGTCTCTCTCCTGCATCATTTGTGTACTCTTTTTGAAATTCTTTGATAAGCAACACTTCTCTTTTTCCATTTCCATCACTCATGGACACACCTGTTTGTAATTAAACACAAGTTAGGACCTGCCTCAGATGAAGGCAATGAATGAAAGGCATTCTGGGAATACGAGTCTTGGCCTGCCTTGTGTGTGTGTGTTTCTAGTTTGAGACAATGACACACTGACTCAATCAATAGGAGTTTACACATAAACACATAGGGCTGTACTAACCCAAAAAACTGACTCAGAGAGACACCCTTTGGAACTTACCTCTCCTCTAATTGGCTCCCTGTGAAGTGGCAGCCCCTCTAGGCAATCTATATGGTGATTACCCATGCTTTTGTTGCATTGTAGAAAAATGGAAAGTCCTGGATTGCTTTAAAAGTAGGATGGAAATTTAGCTCTCCCATCTGGCCTTGAGCAGCTCCAGGGGAAAAGTTCATATCTTTTTGAGCAGGAGCTCATCAAGTAGTATCTGTGTGATTTGCAAGAATGTGTTCCATAGTTGTGTTTGAAATCCTATATGTTTTTAAAGGAGCGCTCAGTAATATGACACTGGTCTTGGATTTTATATCGACCTGGCAGCAAACTGTTGGTTACTGATGTCTAATACTGATGCTCTATTTGCAATAAGCCATTAAAAATATAACAAGTGAGATAAAAATTAGAAGTTTTGAGCTCATTTTTTCTTAACATGGATTTGTTTTATTCTTTTTAGTATAATTATATAATGTTTAGTATAATAGAATATTTATTATTATTCCTTTTTTCTGTGAGTGTGTGTGTGTAAAACTTTGTAATAAGGTATTTACTATGTGCACCCTTAATAGAGTGAAGTTTTTGTATTATTCATGAGAACATGCCACAGATTGATGCAGTATTATAATCTTTAGAGCTGACTGGTTAAGACTGAGACTTTTTTCGTGCTCCAATAACCCATGCTGAATCTTGTTGTCTAAGATCTCTGGATAAAAGTTGACAGAGTCTGGAATTCATAAAATTATATCCACAATTAATTTCAAAATATAAGGAGAAGTCTTTTAGACTGGCACGGAGCCATCCATCTGAGAGACATTTGTCCCTTGGGGCCACTCTAGCAGTAGGGAACAAAGCAGGACATATGAGAGGAAGGGGATTGAAAATTTGAACTAAATGTCTAAATTTGACACATTGTGTATAATCTAATTGAATGATTCAGATCCTTGTATTCAGGAATAAAAAGAAACTTAAAAGATAGTTCACCCATTCTCTGTTTTTCTTCCTAGAGTACAAACTCCATATTTTGCTCTATTATATATGAGCCAAAAGTCTATTGTATTAAAAAAAACTAATCTGGTTCATGAAACTGTTGTTTTTTTATTATTAATATTTCAGGCTTTACAGGGTTAACACTCTTTTCCCCCTATAGTTCTGAAACATTAATTTATTTGTTTTGGTTATAGTGACATTATATGTATGGCAATTAAGAAATAGTAAGTGCAATTGAGTGTTTACTATGGAAAAAAAAATCAGACCCAGGAAAGCTAACAAAAAAAAGTTTTTATAATTAATGATTCAGGAAATTATTAGTGAAGAGTTACATTTACCATCTGTTTCAATTGAGGCTAGTTTTTGTTTGCCAGCAGGACATAATTCCACATAATGACACATAAAGGCTTTGTATGGTTTTGCCAGAATTAATTGTTTTCGTGAGTTTTGTTTATCATACTAGTGATAACAGAACAGCAGTGTTTCTGAGCTGAAGAATTGGGACAGCGAGTGTGTGTGCTTGGGAGTCTCATTCCTGTTTGAACCTGCCCTCATGTGGGGCCCTCTCCGGTGTCCGGTGAATGTCAACATGTGCTGCTGTACTACTACTGCTGAAGTTACAGGCGTCCAAGGTCATTCTTATATTAACAAAAAATGCCTTTTGACACAGAGGGGAGTTGAGCCTACACAGTTACCTTGTGTAAACAGCAGTCTCTGGAGTGTAATGCACCAGGTGATAATGAAACGTCTCACTGTGGTATCTTCAGTTTGATAGCAGTCCTCAAACAGTGCCCACTACATTACCCCTTTGAAAGGTTTTTTGTTTATGTATTCTCACATTTTCAGACATTCTTGGGAGTATACTGCTGTCTGTTCCATGTTAAACTTGTGTCAAGCACAAACTTCAAAGCTGGAAATGTGTTTAAGAGACCTGTGCCGTTTAGTTAATGTAATTTATGGTCCATGAAGTGACTGTTTTTCATACCAGGATCAGGATTTGTCTTGAAGGAGCCGAACGCAAGATTGTGGCCAAAAGTGGTACTGCAATCACTTTCAAATTACTTTAGAGCAGTGCATCCCCTCCCTCCTGACTCGAGGTTGCCAGATCCAACATTTTTTTTATCCGACACGTTTGTAGCTGCAGCTGTGTTAACTAGAGCAAAGCTGGCAACCCGCATACTGCAACACTAGTGACTTTGTGATTGGTAGATCAGACCAAAACACAACATGACAACATCAACATCAGTTGAGGGCTACAACTGCACTTTTTAAATGACAATATCCTGGCTGGACTACTGTTGTCAGTAAAGTATTTGAAATTAACATGATTTCTTAATGTCTAATGACATATCAGGGCCATTTTATTTTATTTTATTTAACCCTTATTTAACCAGGGAAATCCTTTGAGTACAAGTCTCTTTTGCGAAGGAGCCCTGGCCAAGAAGGCCGCAGTAAAGGTTCCACATAAAATACAAAACAAAAATAAATACAGTAAACATACAAGACATAATAAATACATTAACAATTAATTACAATGCTTAAAAAGTAAAATACCATTGTATACCATTAACCTTACAACAGTTAAAAATACTATGTAACAAATTAAAATATTATACACCTATCCTAATTTGGGAAGCAGGGACAGGTGCCCATTGTGGCTGTTTCCTGATACTTTACTAGCCTCTTAAAGTGACCAAAGGAGACCAAGTTATCAAGTTTTTATCAAGTCATTCTGTAATAGGTTCCACGCTGATGGGGCAGAGATTCTAAATGCCTGCTTCCCTAACTCTGTTCGAGCCCTAGGCACAATCATGTGGAGATAATCATTGGACCGCAGGGAACGAGTGCTGGCCTTGAAGGATATAAGCCTACATAAATAAGGGGGCAATGTCCCAATAATGGATTTATATATAAACAATCGGCACCGGGTTAGCCTGCGCTGAGTAAGGGAGGGCCACTGGACCAGATCATACAGAGTGCAACAATGTTGTAAGGGGTTACAACCCAAGTGCACCATGATAAACTAAGTACCAGTTGGTGCAAATAATTAGTTGGGGCGTGCATATATAAGAAATCGCCATAATCCAAAAAAGACAAAAAGGTAACCTCAACCAATTTTTTCCTTGTTGCAAGGGAAAAGCAGGCCCTGTTCCTAAAACAGAATCCAAGCTTTAACCTAAGTTTCCGGGCTAAATTTTGGATATGAGCCTTAAAAGTCAAATGTTCATCAAGTAAAAGCCCCAGGTACTTATACTCAGCCACACATTCTATTACATTTCCCTGCAGGGTTACAATATTTGGAGTGATAGCCGTGGAGCTCCTTTTATTTGAGAACAAGACTGCCTTTGTTTTATTTGCATTCAGCACAAGCTTCAAGTCAAAAAGCTTAGATTGTACAACATCAAAGGCATCCTGCAGGTACTGAAAAGTCTCGTGAAGGGTTTCTCCACAACTGTAAATAATTGTGTCATCAGCATAAAAATGAAACAGAGCGTTATGGACATTTGAGCCAAGATCATTCACATAAATGGTAAATAAAAGTGGACCCAGCACCGACCCTTGATTATTATGGTATGATTATTATTATGATGATTTATGATTATTTGAAATACATTTCTTACATACAGCTCCTTTAACCAGTCAGCTGGTACCTTGGCTTTTATTTTCTGTCTGTAAGACATCTGCACAGTTGACTGGCTTCATTTCAAAGGAAAAATTAGATGACAGCATGTTTCTGAGAGATTCTGTGCCTCTCCACGGACAACACGTGGAGGTGTTGTGCAATGAATACATTTATTCCATGCATCTTGCCATGATTCAACAATAAATAAAGTTATTCCACACATCTCTCTAAGACTCTAAGGGCCTTATAAATGGCATCATTACCTGTTAGAGTCCTAAGAGTCTTTTCTATTCCTGTCAGCAAAGGGCAAACAGAGTGAGACTGATCTGATTTTCATTAAAGAGCCTCTTGAGTAGCCCACTGTGAAAAACTCACTCTGCTAATGAAGCTCCAGCATTTCTAGCCCTCTTCCATGGAAGTATTTAATATAACATTTGTTTTCATGGTCAGGTCATTGCTGTGCGCAGTCCTTGCACAGAGCTGACATTTTGATCTATTTGAGCAATTGAGTCTCTTTCCCTTTTTGGAAAAAGGCTTATCGTTTGCAAGCAAATTCAATGAATCATCTTATTATTCTAAAGGTGAAGCACAATTTTTCAAGCTTCTTACTGGATTCAGTGCTGGAGCACCTGTAGAAACATGCAGGAGTAAAGCTCCCTATTGCTGATTAGCTATTTTTAACCTAGATCTTGAAAGTTTCAGAGGAATGTTGGAAGACATGATGATAGTTGGGCAGTAATGATGAGAGGGTCAAGTTACCTAAATTTGAGGGGCAAATATTGGTACACTGAGTTCTTGTGAATGCTAGCTGACCTAATATGTTGTTCCTGCGTATGTAGCTAATGCTTTTCTTTCTTCAGATGGAAGACCGCAGTGGGAGGTGGAGGCGAAGATCATCAGAGAAAAGAGTCAAGGAGTAAGTAAATGCTTTCCTTTTTACATGTCTACATGGCTTTGTTTTGCCAACAAAAGCACAGACATAAAAATGTCTACATACCCTTTTCCAGTCTGTTTTGTCTTTAACTGAACGAAAAGCTGAAATTCTCTTCAGTCTTTTGAATATTTATCACATGATAGATTTGAGGCCATGTAATGTTTTGACTATATTTGAACTGTGTTTTCTTCTGTGGATCAACTTTGAGAGGTTTGCCTCAGACATCCATGATGTGTTGTTTAGTAAAGTTATGTCTCCATCTGTAGTCAAGCATTGTGGTGGAGGTGCCTCCTTATCACAGTAAGACGGTCACTTCAGCTGTGCAGGTGCAGTTCTACATGTGCAATGGCAAACGGAAAAGGAGTCAGTCACACCGCTTTACCTATCTGCCAGGTTTGTATTATACAGCACATTACAAATTTAGCTCAGAATATATTTGGTACTCTTAACTTAGCAACGTCATTTACTTGTATGGCCTCATAGAAAAGTATATAGACTTCTGTATGCTTACAAAGGCTGCATATATTTTATCAAACATACAAGAAAAATATTATTGTGAAATATACACACACACAGGTATTTTATTTAGTTTTAAAATGTAATTTATTCCAGTCATGGCAAAGCTGAAATTTCTGCAGCCATTGCTCCAGTGTTCAACACTTTTTTCTGGATTCTAGATGACTGGGAAGTTTAACAGAACAGCATTTATGTGAAATGGAAATCTTTTATACAAGAGTAAAAATCTTAAGTGCCTCACAGGTTCAGGTTGTATTTTACTCAGTACAGCTCTGTTATAAATTTTCTTAATATGTTTTTGTAATTGTGGTTACATTTTACAGTAAAAAAAAACAACAATAACCACAATAATATCAATCAATTATTGATGATATAAACAAAAAAAATGCAATATAAAGTATATTGAATCATGTAATCTATTATATAATTTATGACAAATCCGACTTAATGTCCACATTACATCAAGAATTGGATTGAGTCTGGCCTTCATGCAAAGCAGTTTCTTGCTAACTTCACCTAACAGTAACAAGAATGGTACATATGTGGGTTTTCACAACATAGTCACCCGTTTGATCATGCCAGCGTTCCTTTGCACTGTGCACCAGTGTGGTTAGGGATGAGGTTGTTCCAGTAACAGTTGAGCACCTGGTAACCGCTCATGTAAAACACATAAAGAAAGAATCAGCATGATTTACATGTGGCAGGGGGCATGCAAATTTGGGGTACTCAAGAACTGGACCCCTTCAATGTCTTTGTCTTTCTTTTTTTCTCGTTCTCATTAAATGCTCTCGTTCTGTTTCAATCTCCCGTTGGCTTCATCTGTCTTAAGAGTCATATTCTGCAGAACTGCTTTGCATTTTGGAAGATTTTCCCTATGATAAGTCGGTTGAATCATGAGTTTGATGATTCACATGGCAATAATAATTTGTCTCACATGTTGAATTGACATGCATTACATCAGCACATTATTAGCTCTGCTTTTGAAATTGATATTTATACTTCTGATGGAATAGACCGACATCCAGGGTGCAGTGAAAGGCGAAATCTAATTATGGATTATAGTTTCTAATGAAGTGTAATTGTGTGTGGTTCTCAAAGCTATAAGCTGGTTTGGTATTAATTTCCCAAAGTGAGTCAAACCGAAAAACAGCGTTGGCGTAATTGAATCACACGTGAGCAACTTTTTTTTCTTTGTCTCTAAGTTGCATGCTAACCTGTAAAAGAGATCGAGAAAGTCAAAAAGAGAGGGAGAGTGAGAGAGCGAGATAGGCCCAGCCTCCCGCCCACCCTCTCCGCTCCACAAAGCACCCACTCAAATTAGGGTTTCCTGTTTTCCACACTAACCCGTTGGGTTTCAGCCAATCAGACGACAGCACAGGCAGCCAATATTATGAACAGGCCACGGCGACTGTGGTTGCCATGGCATCAGCCCACTGAGAAAGTGGCATAGCAGGGGGAAGGGCTGAGGTGCTGTGTTGTTAGAGTAGAGCCAGACGTTTTCATGGGTAATGAATAACAAGTCTGATGTGATGAGCAGATATCTTAATCCAGATTTAAACTAAATAGAATGGGAATGCTGTTGGGCCTGCAAGGAAGTAGTTTGTAATTCACCTAATTGAATGTTTGAGGCTTCTATGTTGGTCACAGACAAATCCACCAGCTTTGGTCCAAAATTCACCTGGAAATGAATTCTATTAGTTGTATTTATCAACTAAAACCAAGCTTTATTTCGAATGTATTGTAAATGCACAATGACTCAAATGCATTCACACTCTCTCCCACACATGGTCACCACTTGCGCTTCAGATCAGGAAACTGCAGTAATGGCCTTGCAGCAGCGTATGGGCTGTGAACTGGATTTTGGTTCCCATTTGCTGGAGGGCAGACAGCATTCTTCAGTTCCCAAATTCAGCACTGGTTTGCATGGCACTCAAGCAGGCAACATATGCTCTCTCAGAGTCCACAGCAAGTAAAAATATCCCCCACTCATGCGAGCCAGGGAAATGGCAGATCGGGAAATGGGTTACTGAACACTGTGTTACTATTACTCATTGTGTGCACATGTAGGAGAGAAGAGGAGACTTTGATGGAAATACTGGATCATTATGAAATATATGTCATTTTTATACTGAGCATAGTTCTTGAACATTTGTCAGTCATATAATTTTGCTGTCAGTTTTAACTGAGATGGGAAATGGGACAAGAGTTCATTAGTACTGTGAATCTATTAAACTTTAAAAGAAATTGCCAAACCAGTATGGTTAATCAGTTTGATATGCTAATGTAATGGCATCATGAGATCTCAATAACTCTCAATGCGATCACAATAAAAGTATAAATAAAAATACTTAGAGGTATTACTAATATTACTGAAAAGATTCAAACTAGTGAAACAGATAATTACTGTTCAGACTAATTCAGTGACATTTTATAGCTAAAGATGTATGTTATGTTAAGATTATGAATTAAATTTTTTCTCTTTATTATTTTTTTCTCTCTCTCACTCTCTCTCTCACTCCATCTTTCTCTATCCTTCCAGTCTTGGTCAAGCAGGAACATAGGGATGATCTGGACTCCCCTGCCGTGCCGCCTATGTCTATGCCTTTAGTCCATGCTGCCAGTTTGGTCTGCGCTCAGCCGCTGTCCTCCCCAGAGCACTCCCACCCACCAGACGGCCTTCTGTCTAGCTCCCCACGTGGCCTGGCTGCAGGCCTGCATCCACTCCAGGCACCCTGCGCCCCAACGGGCTCCCCAACTCTTCCCCACCTGCCCCATCTTCAGGCTCAAGGACTGAATGCGCCTCCCGAATGCCAGATGCCCTTCCACCCAGGCCCTTCTGCCACTGCCAGGCCATCTTACCCACCCATACAGCACAACATGCCCTTCAACAGCCAGCACAGTCTTCCTATGACTGCGAGCTCAGCACAGGCCTACGAGAGGTTGCCCTTCCAGGCCGATCCATCCGGGTGTCACACCCTGGGTTTGGGGATGGTGTATGGCCCGGCTTCTTCAATACCCACCTCTGGAGTGCCGCCGGGGTCTTGCCCCAGCCTCAGCCTTGCAGCCTGTACAGGTAGCAACCAGGTCATGGCCCACTCTGCCCCTCACCTTCACTCTCTAGGCTATCACTGTCCCACTCCAGGGCAGGTCCCATCACCCACCCACACGCTGGGACAGCAGGTCCCACAGCTGCAGCGTCCACTGGTTTACCATCCAGCCGGGCAGCGGTCTGCCTCCTGCCCCACACCCTCCAGTGCTCCCCCTAGAATGGTGCCATCTCCCCACTCTGGGCCCTCGTCCCCCCAGATCCATTCCCTCCCCTACCATTCCCCTACCTCCCCGTCTCCTACATCCAGCAGCCCTTTGGGGCCCATGGCGCTCTCTGGACAGCCTTCCCCGCAGGATAGCAGCCCTGTTTTGGCTGGGTTGTCCCCTTCAGGTCCTTTGGTGCACCCCCTGACCCAACAGGAAGAGAGACTGAACATCAAACAGGAGCCAGAAGATAGAGAGCCCACTTTCCGTACCATTGGCTTGCAGGACATTACGCTTGACGATGGTGAGTCTTTGCACTTTGTTAAACAGTGTATCTTTTGATGCTTAATAACATTTTGAATGTGCCTGATCACTTCCATATTTAGCCACAGTGGCCACCGCATCCTCCGGTGCAGCACAGTGTGTGGAAATTGTGAGAAAATTACGCACAAAATTAAACCTTCAGGAATACTCCCACAACAGGACAAACCAATATTGATATTATATCATCACCTTTAGACTAAAGACATGTAAAGCTTCTAAAACTCAAAATCTGGTTTTAATATAATATAAAATGTTATGTTTACTACAGTTAATATATGTATTATACTATATTATAATATAATTCATTGTGATTGACATGTAAATAAAATACAGGGCATAAAAATATGACAGAAAGAGTTCAATATTACAACAGTTTTCTGGGGGAGAATACTATACCGGAAGATTTCGTAGCTCTGAGATTTTAGATTTTAAATATGTAGACAGTTGGCATGTATTATGTCCTCTGACTTTTGACTGGGCCACCCCAGGTTGTATTTGATTTAGCCTAGCTATGATGACCAAAACTACAATGCATGAGTCCCGCCTGCAGGCATGTCTGTTTTCCTCCCTTCGTTGTAGTTTCTGTTGTACTCACTGAAATAATTACCCTTTTATTCACTTTATTCCTATATGATATGAATATTAGAGAATGACAGGTACTTGCAATAATTTAATCAGTCGAAAAGTGTGTGAATAATAGATTATGGGTAAATACATATGTGTGAATCTGTGCAGTAGTAGCTTATTCATAACAGGAACTAGTAGAGTTAATGCTTCATTTACTAAAATGAATTTGCATGCACAAGTTGCCTGGGACGTTAGAGTGGTTGGCAGGTTCCAGATCTTAAGAGTGTTATTATGGCATGGGGCGGATTCATTACACTGTTAATCCTTCTTAGCAAGAATTATGAGACCTAGTAAAGTTAGTAGTGTGGGGGAGGGAAACAGAGAGGCTGTGTTTGGAGTCGCTTACTACTTTATTACTCTCGCTCTTTCTGCAGTATATACTATAGTATGTTAAATATATATATATTCATCTTTCCGGACAAGTGAATGGCCCGTTTATTTGTTTAAAGGACAAGCACATGACAAGGCTAAATGTTGAGCCCTCCTGTATACAATTGTGCATGCTCCCACAATGCAATGTACTCAATATGACCCAATATTTTTGAAAAATATGTGAAATATGCTTTGTGAAACATTATTCCAATTTAAAATAACTTTTATATTTTAAATTGAATTTATTCCTGTGAGGGCAAAGCTGAATTTTAGCAGCAATTACTCCAGTCTTCAGTGTTGCATCCTTCAAAAAATCATTCTATGCTGATTTGGTACTCAAAAAAAAATGAGCATTAAGCATTGAGCAAGACCTCCTGAGACACTACAAGAGGCTACTAATAATTGATTAATTAATTAATACGAGCTGTTTTCTTGTATAAAATTAAATATTATAAGTTATATGCACAGTGAGAGTAAGACATGGAAAAAAAGACCACAGGCCAACAATGTCAAGATCTATATATCAAATGAATTACACTCATACACACTCAGTATTTCAAAGTAGGCATGCTCAACCACACAAATACTCACTGCCTACATGTTGCTCATGTATACTGTAACATATGCCTTCATGCAGACAGTGTGTGAGATGTGATGAAGTTGAACCTTTTTTTAAAGTGAAATTTTGAACTGATTCCACCAGAGACTGTATCCTCCCTAAAGCACACACTATAAATAGGGTCTGTGTCATTCTGACTGAAGCTCTTGAGCACTGTCGAGTTGTTAAGGAGGTCAGAAATGAACTGCAAATAGAACAGAACACAGCTCCAGACACTGACATAAACCTTATTTCACATCAGCATACAGCTGCCACTGTTATTGAAATGTACAGCATGTTTTGCTAAAGCATTATGCTTGGCCTAATTGAATAAACTGCAAATTTATAAACAAAATTTAGAAAAATGCTAATAAAGTTCTCAAATGACAATTTATTTATCTCATCTCAAATGACATTTATTTATTTACCATATCCCATATATTAATATGTATCATGTCATAAATATGATTGTTTATTGCATTTAAGTATAGACTCAACGTTTAAATCTTTCTTGCTGTCTTGTCTCATTCATAAGAATCATGCATCACTTTTTATGGTTAACAGCAAGTGCCCTGCAGCTGGCTGAGAGTTTCACTAGATTTAAATGTAAGTTTATGTATCAGTCAGACTGCAGTTCTTAATCACACTTTCCTGGCACTTTTATGGCCCCAGATACTTGATGAATCACTTTTCAGCAGAATTCAGTCACTCTGTCAGTGCATTCTGGGAGATGTCTGATTTCTGTGATCGTTTAAAACCTTGTGTTTATTTACAAATCACACCGGCTTTCATTTCCAAAGCTGTTTTGATACTGGTTAAACTGGTTTTAATAGTGCTTACTAGCAAATTGTGGTAGGCAGGAATCACACCTGATATTCTGGTTCTATTGTTTTTATTCCAGGTCTGCATGGAGCCAGTACTACAACTGGATGGATTAAAGTTTATTTATATAGAAAGCTAATATTAAAGGGCTGAAACGGTTTGGGGTTTTTCATGGACAAATACGGCGGTGTGTGTTTGTGTGTGTGAACAGATGGCACAGGTGATGTCAAAGACTCTTTGCAGGTGGTGTTGGGGAGGGGCTACAGACAGACTGACAGATGGATGACAAAAAAGCAGGGAATTGACACAAACACACACACTCTCAAACAGAAAGGTCATAGAAGGAATAGAATATAGTTATTAAAAGAGTATTGTAATTTGAGCAGTCTACTATTCGTACCACTGCGTGTATCTCTCAACATGATATCCTTGATTAAATGTAGACTGCTTATGTGCTGAGGAGGCCAGGCCGTATGTGTGTGTGTCCGTGTTAGGCGAGCATAAGGAGTTGGGTGCCATATTTTCCCTGATGAGTTTGGATTAGTTCCCTCATGCTGAACAGGAGGAACAGTGTGTGTCTGTACTTATACTCTAGCCTTAGTCACTTCTGTTTTCTCTTGCCTCATCTCTTCTCTCCTCTCCTCTCTTTTTAATGTCAATTGTATTTAATTAATTTCCTCCCAGAGGTCTGTATTTGAGATGTGTACGCAGGAGTGTGCTTGCACTGCTTTGTTCTCGTGGACGTCTGTGTGCAGCTGCCAGCCCGGCATGAGTGCACTGATCTGGGTTAATAATAGGCAAAAGCCTGCTGTCTTCGGGTCCCGCATCCCTGTCGTACTGTACACAAACTTGGAGCTAATATATCAGTGTCAGTCTGTTTCGCCATTGGATGAGAGTTTGTTTTAACATGGAACTTACTAAAGTAACAATATTCAGATTTTATGAACTGCTCCTTGTAACGTATATATTCTCATATCATATGCTGCCCTCATTTGTTACTTGTGTCTGTTTTCCTCTTTCCGTTTGTGGGTACGGAAACTTCATTGTGCAACATATCCCAGGTCTGTAGTCTTTAGCCAGTGGCTGTCAAATTAATAACACAACTCCTCTCATCTCTGGGGGAAAAAAGAGAGTGTAGAAGGGAAAAAACAGAGCTCTGGGCCAAATACAGCTCGTTAAACACAATCAGAGAACTCTTCTGAATCCAGTGGAAACCTGGTTTTGTGTCATCTTTCCGTACAATTAGTTTCAGGAGCATAATTCTGAGGTCTTGGCGGAGGCGTGCAGCGGCATTGTGGTCGGTCCAGTTTGCAATGCTGTGGTGTTTGGCTACAGAGATGTAGAATGGTGCAAATATCCTTGGAAATTGATGTGACATGGGTGTGCTCCCTGACTAGGAAACTCCAACTCAGACTTATTCATTCTCTTGCATGACATTTTCACCTCATTTAGAGCAGTATGATTTCCGCGATGCGAAAAACATGGACGGTATCTCGGAATCCAGTCATAAAAACTGAATTTACTGTATAATATGGAATTTGAGTTTAGCTTGAAATTGTGACAGAAATATATTAAAGTTGTACAGTACAATTTAGCTACGTTTCAATGTAATTATAATACTGACACTAACATTAATAAATTAGGTACTTTCCTGTTATCCGGACCCCACGATGCCCTACCCCTAACCCCGCCCCTAAACCTACCCGTGACTGGGGTTAAGACCAATCAGGGATGACTATAGTTCAGAAATGGTATATGGTGGGGTCCGGATAACAGGAAAGTACCCAAAAAACAGACTAGACAGGCATATAGTTTTAAGTTGCTCGCCCATTTTCCTTATCAATATGTGTCCCCATAAATTAAATTTAAATTACACATAACTTTGTACCTAATTTAACCCCCATAGATACCAGTAAACCCCAAAGTGCTATGTCCAGTAAAATACATGATGCAATTAATAAATCTAATAAAGGTAAGGTTGTTGGAGTGTTTTTGCCACAAAGTCCAGATCACAGGTATTGAGGGTATATGAACAGAAACATGTCACAGAGGGATGTCCGATGGGGAATGGGGGGTAGACTGCTCATTAAACAGTCTGGCTGCATGGGGATAAAGACTATTACAGCCTACTGGTTTTGGCCCCGATAGACCTGATGGAAGAGGTGATGTGGTGGTTGTAAATGGTCCTGGAGAATGTTCTTCACTCAGTTCATGGGAGGGTACACAGTTGGGATATCTGGGAGATTGACCCCAATGATCTTTCCTGCCGCCCTCACCACTCTGTGTAGGGCCTCCTTCTCTGAGCTGGTGCAGGCAGCAAACCACACCAGTAACCCGTAGGTCAACACACTCTCCACTGCACAGTGGTATCCACAATGATTTCTTTGGTTGTCTTTGTGTTGAGGGTCAAGTTGTTGCTGCTGCACCATGCCGCCAGCAGTTGGACCTCTCGCCTGTATGCAGTCTCGTTATTCACGGTGATGAGTCCGAGCACTGTTGTGTCGTCGGCAAATTTTATTACATAGTTGGATGGGGAGAAAGAACTGCAGTCATGTGTGAAA